GATGAAAAAATAAATCGTAGGCCAATGCTTAAAAAGGAAGAGCCCCCCCCCCCCCCCCGAACTGTTTTCAAACTGAGCCTGTTGTTCCATTTTAGATATCGGTCTGATGGTACCAAAAAAGATCCTCTAAAGATCAGCTCTATGGTAAGTTTGATTGTAAACAATAATGCAGTAGGAAGTCTGGATAACTGTACTTGTGTTAGAATAGATTGAGGAGGAAAGAAGTGGCTTCTTCACATGTTTGAGTTCAATAAATATGCCCTGATTATATTTTAAAACCAAATTAATTGTTCAGAAGAAACTCAAACTTCCAGCTTTTCTCAAACCCATTGTTGAATTTTTGTTTTTGGTAGGCATATGTAACTGGATGAGTTCCTTCTCTTGGTATTGTTTTTAATATTTAAGGAGCCATGCCACAATGTTTATCCTTATTTCTTGTAGTTTGGCCTAATAAAGGAGGCAGAATACCTTGAGACAGAAACTACAGAACAATAAGTCTGATTTCTCCCCCCCCACCCCCCCCAAACCCTTTTCAAAATTCTTCAGCTGGTTTTATAGTCTTAGTTTCTGCTCATCTTAAAACTGGGCAATCAAAACAGATTCTCCAGAGACTGAATTTTGAATTGTTGTGGAATCCTATTACAGTATTCTTAATCAGATCAGTACATATTGATAAAATGAAGAGCAGACTTCTCCACTCTGTGGAATACTGTTTAACTAAAGAGTTAAGGTTTTATTTGAAAAAAAAAGTTAAGATTCATCTTCTCTTAATTACAATATGGTAAAATATCTCTATGTTGTTAGAAAAATGATATGCCCAATAAGTTTTCTGAAAATCCTGAGTTAAATCCTCATTCTTAGAAAAAAAGTCAGTTTCCATTTCTGTTTATGAAATAGGGTTATAGAATTGAGAGAGAGAAAATATCTGTTTATCTGAGCTTATTTCCTACCAATATAGATAATGCACTGACAGGAGTTTTATTTTAGGTTTTGTAATGATCAGTGTTGGTAGTGCACTTCTTCAAAGGGGGCAAACATAACTGGAGTCTAACAGAACGTCCATTTCAAGGAATGCCATGTTAAAAGTGCTGTGAGATGTTTTTGCAGGTTAACTGAAATGACAGAGGTGTTTATGCAACCAGTACTTTCTATTTTAATATTTTTTGCCACTTTTAGTAAATTGTCCTCTTCTGCAAAATGCATCTTAGATTTTGAGAAGAGCAAAAGTGAGAATAAATCTTTCTTCAAGAATACTACTTGAACATAGTTGCAGTCTTGCAGTTGTGATTTCTGGCACAAATACTGGAGAGGAAATGCCTATTGCATAGTTTTCAAAACGCTACTGCCTGTACCATAGGTATTTGTGCGCTATCCCTACAGTGAAACACCAGACGTTTTTGTTGTGTTCAGTTGTTTCTTACTAGTGTTTGTGAGGAATCATCTATCCAATTGCATGCTTACTAATTGTTCTGGGGAGTGAACCTCCACAGAGTATAACTAATGCAATGAGAAGGCAGAAATCTCAAATATAGTGTGTGTCCAAGCGTTGACATGGACAATAAGATTTTAGGAAACAACTCCTGAAGCTCTAGTGTGCTGATTCTCAACCAGGGTGCTGGAGTACTCAGGGGTACACCAAGATTCTCTAAAGGGCACTACAGGGTATGTAGAGATCAGCAGATAAGTGCAGGCTCAGCCCCTGTTTCTCCATTCCCTTGCCACCGCCCCCCTGCCCTTTGGCAAGGAGGTAAGGACTGTAATAGATTAGTTAGTTTTTGATATGGGGTGCTGCTCAATTCAAAAAAGTTCTGGAGGGATGCTTTAAATCTAAAAAGGTTGAGAACTGCTGTTCTAGTGTCTTCTGTACCCTTGGCATAAATCTAACCAGAGATTGAGCTAAGAAGCTACAGAGGCAGAGCTTGTGAGCAAGCCAGGATTAAGTATCGCAACGTTGTGAGGAGGCACTGTATCAGGGATGTCAAAGATATGACTTGCAGCCAAATTGGCCCCATGGATCTGCATTATGCATCCCTGGTGCTGGCCACATGGCCCACGAGCTGGATCCAGCCAGCAGCAAGTCCATTTCCCAGCAGCCCTTGCCCATGTGGCTGGGGCCAGTTTCCATGCAGACCCCAGCAGTAGCCGTACTGTGATAGTGTGTGGCCATGGTTTTTGTGGAGACCAGCCCCAGCAGTGCTGGAAGTCAGCAGCAGTGTGTCAGACTCTACCTGATGGTGGTGCTGAGCGGGGACTATGCTGGGTTTGGGAGTGGGGTGGGCTCAGCTGCTTCTGTTTGTATGGGGCAGGCAACAGTGCTACTGAGAAGGGTGGCTAAAGGCAATTTTGGGGTGGCTATAGCCCCCCCTAGTGCTGCCCCTGCTGGCAGGGCACATGGCAGGGCACAGAGCTGCTCTGGAGCCCAGCTGGGATCTTGCAGAGGCCTGCAATGCGATGCTGCGGCTAGTAAAGCATCCAAAATGCTGGCTTGCATCCACAGATGCTTCTCAAGCAAATCCCGGGACGTCATTCCCCCCTTG